ATGAAATTAAGTCTATGATAGTAAAATAATAGGATTGTAGAAGATGATTGGGAACATACATTGAAATATCTTATACGTTAATTTTCACTAATGCAAAACGGTATATGTGCATAAATGGGCATTGATCGGGAATAAAAATGTCTCTAAAATCTGATAGATCATGGTATCAAAATTTATAGTTGTTGACCTTAATGAAAGTGATAAGCCAAATACTATAACATTTGACGTGAAGAACACGATATTTTAAAGAGCATCAGCCACGCAATAGTAGATTTGATTTGGGTCATACTACTCTAGAGGATAAAGATCGGAACTTTGTCAAGTATAAAAAATGATAGATCCTAGTGCTTGAGCATTTGAATTTTCAAGTTCTATTATAGATGATCTTTTTCTCGAATGTGATTTAGTTGAGATGGTTAACATAGTGTTGACATTTTTGATGGTTACATTTTTTAGATGAGTGATAAGTTCAAACTAGTCTCAATAGATAAAAACTTTGAATTAAAGCGTTAATTTTCTCTATTAACATTATACACTATGTGAGTAAAAAGACATGCAACTTTATGTTACTAAGTCTCAAAGACATGCTTATACAACAATGTTCTAGTTTGTATAATACTTTAGATTTTAAGTATTAAATGAGTTAGAACAAATGTAGGATAGATGAGGAGACTGAAAAGGAACCAAGAAGAACATATCAGATACTAACTACATGAGAGTGGCCTTGGTAGAGGACCCATATAATAAAGGTTCAAGTGTTTCAATCATACGGTTTGAATCTCTTAACTCAAAAGTAGTTGAGCCAAAGAGTATTGCACTTGAATATGTTCTTCTTTAGATTTTAAGTATTAAATGAGTTAGAACAAATGTAGGATAGATGAGGAGACTGAAAAGGAACCAAGAAGAACATATCAGATACAAACTACATGAGAGTGGCCTTGGTAGAGGACCCATATAATAAAGGTTCAAGTGTTTCAATCATACGGTTTGAATCTCTTAGCTCAAAAGTAGTTGAGCCAAAGAGTATTGCACTTGAATATGTTCTTCTTAGTGTTGTTTACATATCAACACTATACATATTGAATCTTATCTTGTGTGGATAGTAGATCCAAAAGTTAGAAAACCACTTTATATGAGATAAAAAAATGTTTTTAGTCTATTGTCGATTCTTTGACTTGATACAAAATAAATAAATACAAATAATGAAAATGAATTGGAGATTTATATGTCTAATATTGTAACTTATTGTTGCAAAGTGGGGAAAGTGATATCCTGCTTAATATTAAAACAATTTCAAAGACTCCACTAAACTTGTTCTCAACTGTAGTTTTTCTAAGAGTGATCTCTAACTTGAATTTATACATGGTAATTCTGTTCGTATTCACAATTGTGATATTTATTATGGTTCTGGATATTTGTGTAATGGTTTGGGGTCTTGAGTTGAGAAAGCCGTTTAAAGCTATAAGAGCTAAACTTTCATATAGTAAATCAATCCAAATTTCCTTAAGAGATAGATATGAAATTTCATATTTTCATCATTCATAGATGGATTCACGAACTTTCAGTTGTGCCTATGATTTTCTTAACTTGAAGATGTTATATAGGTTTAGACTTTTTTGAAGTGGAGTAGAAAATCAAATTATGGAAGTGAAGATTTTGAGAACTATTTGAGAGCATGAATCCCTATCATAAGAATTCAGTAATCAAGGTATTGAAAGATAAATTCTTATTAGATTGACTATTCCTTAATCAGCAGTAATTAAATGGTTTATTGGGTAGAAGGAATTGAATATTGCTGAATGTGATAAGACTTTAAATAACACAATCCAATTTACGTGTTTTGTTTTTGGAAAGAATGTTGATTAACTGCTACATATCACTTGATAGAGTTCTCTCAATATTAGTATCATCAGAATATATAAGCTTTGGACACATATAACCATATATAGGTTATCTTAGACTCACAATCAACTATATAAGCTCTTAATAATAAGTTTGGTAATATAAATCTATCGAGAACGAGATGTATCTTTATGACACACATGATAGTCCGAAAAGGTACTTAAGTGAGATTTTGGATTGATATAGGGTCACGAGATGTGACTTTAACATTTCTTCTAGTAAGGGAGAAAATTTTGGAGAATACTATTGAAATTGATATTCTGTGTATTGATGAATTAGTTTTTAGTACATAAGGGATGGTTTAAATTTTTTATTCAAGTGAGAATAATATGTTTACGAGTGGAAGCTATCTATCCGAGTGGGAGCTATTTAAAAACTATCTAATTTCAATGATTCTTAGTTCAGAGTGAGAGGAAAAAGCTAAGTAATTTCAAAGATTCCTGATTCAAAAATTCAGTGGAAAATTTTGAGAAAAGTGATGGAAGTATATATGGAGTAAATAATTCTAATCAAATTTGATTTGTGGTAGAAGTTCTAATTGGACATTATGCTTATTGAAAACATTCAGGCTCTTAAAAATTAAGTGGGAAGCTAATGAGTTCATGATAGATAAAACTCATTTTTCAACAACGAGATTTCAATTCGCTGATGCTAGCCATGAAGTGTGTTTAAGTTTAGATTACACGAATAGATTTAGAGAATGTATTT